CAAACGAATTGGCTCGGTCCAGGCCCAAACCCTCCGAAAAGGGCCATTGCAGGGCTCTCAACTCATCCAAACCCTCAGGCTGAGCTCCCTCGCCTCTGTGCCCACCAACTCCTTCAGGGTGGATTGGAGGCGCCAAAGGGCCGCTTCCTGAGGGTTGGGCAGGTGAAAGAGGAACCAGCGGAAAAAGGTTCCAAACCTCAAGCAGCGACGAAAACTAGCTTCCAAGTATGTGGCTGTAGGCACAGTCGGCTCAAGCTCCACACCCACCCCAAGATCCACCAAGAACATGACATTGGCGGCCGATGGCGGTATGGTGTTTGAAGATGTTCGATCCGACCCGCGCAGATGTTCGATCCACCCCAAAGTAGCATGCAACGACGACCCAAGCATGTCAATGTATACTTGAGAACTTGACAGACCCAAGTCTGCAGCGGATGTCTGGATGCGGAAGAGGGCCCGAAACCATCATAACCCCTTCCCTCCATGCCATGACCAAAACCGCGCCGGAAATGCTGGTTCTGTTAGGAACACCCGAACCCCACAAATATAAATTAGATAATTATGTATATATACAGCCGCCCTTAAACACGGAGTATGTACCTGTAACATCCTCTATCATCCAACGGGTAACCAAAAATCCTGGCATGTGTATGTTTTGTCCTCTGGCCGCAGCCATCACGAGTCTGGGCGTGCGCGGAGGGCTCCAAAAAAGGGGCCCTGGCATGTGTGTAAGGCAATCGCTAGTAGGTTGGAGGCCATCGCTAGCAGGTCGGAGGCCATCGCTACTGGGTTGGAGGCCATCGCTACCGTTTTCGAGCTGTTTCTGAGTTCTTCCAGTAGGGAGCCAGGTTCTGAGCATCCCAGTTCTGCAATCCCAGCATCGATCGGATTCCGGTCCCGCGCCAGCAGCTTCACACGCTTGTGCCCTGCAATGCCTGCCCACGCTTGTGCAGTCTGGACTGGGGTGCCCCAGAGCATGACTGGTCAGGACCAGGACAACATCCAACTCCTTTGCTCCCTTCAAGCCATGAGCAAATAATAGCAAATACAGGCAAATACCATTCCCAAAACAGATGCAAAACTGTCTGAATGGCGAGGCTTAGAAACATCTAGCTCGGGAAGATGAGAGGGGCCACTCGGCATAATGAGGCGCAAATTGCGCACCACTTCGCACAACCTTGCTGTTATTGAGCTTCCCCCTTCCCCCGAAGTATACTTTTGCTCTTAAAGTTGCTAAGGTTCAAGTGCGCAATCTGTTCAACTCTTGCTAGTCAGTGGTGGGGCACGGCATCTTCATAATGATGTTTCTTCACTTCATTCCTCAGCTATTCTCGTGACATGTCACCCCAAACAAGCTGGGCCCTGTGCCGTGCTCTCTCCGTTCCCGCCTGCGAGCGGCTCCCGGGAGACTTGGACCTCGCAGCCCAATTCCTCGATGATCGCGCGAATGCGCTCGCCACCCTGGCCAACAATGCCTGGCCGGCTTTTTCCGTTTTTCTTCCCAACTCCGCTGGCTGGCTCCGTGGCATCGCTCCAATCGGTCCGTGTCGAAGTTTAAATTCCAGCTTTGAGGATGTACATGGCACGTTAAAACCCCACGGCGGGAAACCATCTCCTAAGCAATTACTTCTGGGTTCCGTCTTCACATACGTATATTATTCTCTGCACGTGTTCTTTATAAGGCTTTCGGGACTACATCATCAAAAGTGAGAAGAAATACCGAAATAAACATAAAATACCGAGATACTGGACCCCAAAAATAAGATACAAACGCTACACACCCTGGCCTACACATGCTCCGTCCATCTCCGCACCTCCTCCCGCTCGCTCCGGCACGATCACGTCCAGCACGTGAGGCCGCTCCCGGTCCCGGTCCGCCGCGTCGGGCAAGCCGGAGCGGTCGAAGACCCGGTCGAGGACCATCGACACGGCCTGGCGTAGGGTGGACTCTTCCCCACAGGAGATCATCACGATGCACTCCTGGCGACCGGAGGGCGGATGCGGAAGCCATGAACTGCTGGAAGTACCGGGGGCGGTTTCTGATTTTTGGGAAGATGATGCCCGGGTGCCCGAATGGTCGAAGAAATCAGCGCTGGAATGCTGGATCAAGAGGTGAGAAAGGGTGACAATCTCTGTGATGGGTCAGGACTTGAGCACTGGAAGGAGTTGAAGAGTTTAAACATCCTGAAAGAAGTTTCAACCTCTTGGGGATGAGTTGAGAAACATGATCTCAAGCATTCAAGTGACAGTGGTGGGAAAAGCTTTGACTCGGTTGAGGCAATCTTCTCCCCATACTTTCATGCTTGTCTGAAAGAAAAGAAATCAAGCCATGAAAAGCCATTCTGAGTACCAACTTTAACTCACGTCCCCGGGTCCTGAATACACTGAGACTCTCTGGTTACCCCCTTTTCCGTAAGGTTCTACGACTGGTTCTCCCCCCCAACGGTTCTTCGCCAGCTGCTGCTCACCCACCGTCCCACGGCGAAGAGCGTGGGAGCCCCGTCAGCCCCACACGGGGAGCCGTTCCCCGCGGTGACCCGAGCGTTCGCCGTCCGAGCATGGCACACACCGTGCCATTCACCGTAGCCAGAAATCTGTGGTTGTCAGTCTGATAGAAAGTGCACAAGCAAAGAAGAACCATAAAGAACCCATAATATCCCATATTTCAATATGAAGAGTTTAAAAAAAAAAGCAGAACATGACACACGCTTCCATGGTTCAGAGTTTTTTCCAATTTTTGAATAATCACGTTCAATCGAGGATTTGATTTAACAAATTGTCCTAATTAGGCGACTTTTCGGTTTTGAAGTTCCCAGGTCTCATCTTTGGGGTCCCCCGATGTGTCCTCTGACATCTGCACAGTACAAATGGCATCTCCATCTATCTCCATCTCCGTCAAGTCTTGTTCATCCAATCTGGAACCTAGATGATGTTCAGGTGTTTCTCTCCTCAACCATTCTTAAGAGTTTCTTGTTGTAGACGACCCACACTGCTCTCCGACCCACCCCACCCCGCGACCCCGGCCATCACTGGTCCATCCCATCGCGTTCCTGGCGGCGCTTTAGCGCTTCAGGCAGCTCATCCTGCAAGACCCGCACCGCGTGCGCGCCCGCGTGCGCGCGGATCGCCTTGATGCTGGCGCCTTGATTGCACGGGGGCGCCGAGAAGCCCAACACCGGCGACGGGAGTTGGTGGAGGACCCCGAGAGAGAGATAGAAGGGGGGTTGCAGTATAGTGAGCGTTTTCAGTGTGCATGGGGCTGTTGGCGTTGTGGTGGTTGTGGTGCATGACACCAAGAGACCAAAAGCTTTTGGGCCGACTCACATCAAATGGTGACTTCCCCCTCTCATTGGTCACGTGGTTTGCTTCGCCGGTCCTCAAGTTTAGCTCTTGATTTCACTTCACTGAACCATTGAAGAGAGCCCACCTGGGTGGGGGCCACCTGGCTGGTTTGTGTAACCCTATGTAACTCTACTTCTCCCTATAGTGATTCTGCATCTCTGCGTCTACTTTCATCTGTGATCATGCAGCTGCTCCCAAATTCCAAAACAGTCTTCAGCGCTCAAATAAACGGCTTCATATCAACGGCCTCACCAAGACACCTTGCTTGCCAATCACTCGCGCCCCGGCGGTTGCCCGGACAATCAACCGGCACGGGGGGACCATGTGAATGCGCACAGCATCTGCTCCTTCAGCGGCTTCGCCCTCGGCACCCTCAGCGGCTTCGCCCATGACAACCGGTGTGTCACCCGAAGGTTCGGCGGGTTTCACCGAGCCGCGCTGAGCCGAAAGATGTTGGAACCACGCGGGGCAATGACCGAATAGACAGGGGGAGCAGTGATCAAGTACAAAGAGTGGGTTGGGATGCCCCATATCACTTTATCATGAATGTGGGAATGTGGGACTTGTCATGGCCAGATATTTCTTTCGTCTTCACTTACACCGAACATGAATCACCGATGCAATGTCTTTGGTCCCGGTACGCTTGGCCCATGGTCCACCCACCTCGTTCATGGGTGCATGGTCATACCTTGGGCATCTCACCCATGATATACCAGTAAAAGTGGATGATGCAGGCCTGCCTCTAAAATGGTGTACGGATGTGTATGGGTTAGGTTGCAGGCTGACATCTCTAGTGGGTTAGGTTGGAGGTCGACATCTCTAAAATAGTGATCATTGTTTACTGACGGTCACAGGTCATGGGACAAACAGAACCAAGTCATGCCGGTTCATCAGTCACAGTTTTTTGTTTGCGTGTCACACAGGTACACTCTGACTCACTAACATGGAAGTGGAAAACTGTGAAGCCCCTTTTCCTCTACAAACAGGTGCTTGTCCATTTCCATGTGTTCGTCGGAGTGTACTTGATTTGCTCCACTGTGTGGCTGGACCCTCCGAGCTCTTCCCAAAGCAAAAGCCACCGAGCTCTTTCAGGTTGCGGGACCAGACGACCAAGAGGAGACGTCTGCCAAGAGGAGACGTCTCGCAAGAGGAGATGTCTTTCGCCGGGTTCAAGGTCCAAGTTCTGCAATTGACCCAGGGCATCCAGTTACCACTATAGCTGGTAACCAGCGGTTCCCAAGACTAACACCATAGACCTAGAATCCCTGGTTCGTTATATAGTGGTAACTGGGATGCACTGGGTGAGATATTCACATTCTATCATTCTCTTGCTTGAGGATAGCTGTGCGTTTTGCATGCTGAAGGAACCAGTTCCCTGGTTCTGTGGGGGTGGCATCCAATATTTTATTGCTCCAATGTGGCTTCCGGAGTGGCGTGTTGATGGTCCTGGATCCTGACTCCTTCATGGGAGTTTGAGTTCCGATAGCATCCGATAGCTAGGGCTGGTGAAGTGCTATATAGTAAACCCCCACCTGTGGATGTGAAGGGTTCATCAAATCAAACATCAATTTCATGGTTGCTCGATTCAGGGTTGGGACAGCCTCTTCCCCCCGACCCAAATCCTCCTAATCCGAGATCCAACATGTCCCGCCCCTGGCCTTGTCAGGCATCTGACCACCATGGACTTCCTCACCTCGCTCAATGGTTCATCATTCATTTCTCTCAATGTGTGTTTCCCGGATGTCCTGGAAGTCCGGGCGCGAGGCTCATATGACAAACGCCGTTCCCAATGTTGCAAACCAAAGCAGTAGATGGCCCTTTGCAATGCCCGCAGCCGGTCTCCACCAAACACAAGGAAATGTCCACAACATGTGGTTCCCCAAAAGAAAGTATCGTGCAGAAAGTACACATGCATGTTTAACTGCATGTTTACTTTGGCAACTTTGGAGACAATGAGACAACCATCACGTGACCATGTGGTGTTCCATGTCTCCACTGTGTCTCCGGTTCTCCCTGCAAGCTTGCTAGGTCCCATTGTGTTCCTTCAGGCCACACAGCAGGTCATTCCCTCCGCAGCTGAGCTGGTCAAGTTTGTGGGCCATCTGCAGTAAACAAAGCCGCAAAAGGCTGTGACTGGTAAGACGTAGGCATTTAAACTTGGTAATTGACCAAGTCCCAAGTCAAGTGAAATTCAACACTTTCAGGAATGCTCAGCTTGTCTGCTTGTTCGAAACCTTCCACGGAACTTGCAGCGCAAAGCCAAAGAAAGTCTTAGAAACAACTGCCGTTTGGGCTAGAAGAGCAATGGCAATAGGTCGAAAGTTTGACAAGTGGCTTCACTTCCCGAACAGCTATAGGGCGTACACTATTCGCCCTACAAGTTGGAGCATTGAGCATTATATGCAAAGGGTGCCAGAGGATATTGTCTCACCTGGCCTGGTGCAAGGGTTTTCGGCCAAATGCATACCTTCTCTGTTGCTTGCCCGACCAATCTGAGATCAACCAAGAATGTTGACTTTTGCGTATGTAATGTAGGGCTAGAGATACTAAAACGTTTCTTTGCTTCATCCCCCTGTCACCCTCTGTCGGCACAGAAGGGATCCGGACATTTCAGAACGGCTTGTTCTGCATCCTCCTTGCAGTTTGCAACCCTCATCTTCAGCTGAGTGATCTTAAGGGTTTTAAGCTGCAAGTTAGACCTGTCTGGACTGAGTCTGTTCCCAACAGCTTGCTTCTTCACTCCCTGTTCTTCCCTACCCAGGGTCCAGTCTCGAAGCAGCCCTGGGTCCCATTCCAGCGATCATTCTCACAAAAAGATGTATGTGAGTCAAAACCGGGGGACCTTTGACAATAAACAGATTCCTTTATAACGGGATGTCAACTTTCCATTGGTTTGTAGGGTGAGGTGCCATGTCCCACATCCATATGATCTTCAGGATTCGGTCGACCATCCTTAAAACGTATGAGGTACTGCGCGGAGTCCCTACTTGGAGGTCAATGATTCGTCACAGAAAAAGGCTCAAAAAATGCAACTGTCAATCATGATCATGATGATTAACAGCTTAATTCAAACAAAAATGGAGATTTAATGAGAATCATAAATAACAATATATATATATGTTATGTATATAGTATAGATAATTATATATGTATAAATGTAATTATCAATCATCATTGCATTTTGCCTTTTCCATGCCAAGCAGAAAAGTATCTCCCTTCTGGGCATTGAACTGCACCCTTGTTTCAGGGGTATATACATCATCTGAAGGTACACATCGCACCACAAAAAGAAGGAGAGTTGTCAAACAGGCTGCCAAGTAGATAATGGACGTCACAATCAATCATGAAAGCTGGAAAGAACGCCTTGCCTGACACGATGGGCCTTGATGAGTGCCGAAACACTCCAAAATGCCTGCATTGACCCTGAAATCACCCCCAATGTATGTCAAATATGTCAGTCCCATGGTCTCCTCCTTCGGCTCTGCGTTGGTCACTATCCAGTGACCCTCAGATCCCGTGCAAATCCTGACGTCACAGAGCGTACCATGGGACGATCAGGCGCCGATCGGCCGGGGCGGGGTTCGTCCGTCCGTGCCCCAACACTCCGTGACGGGGCTGTTCGACTGGAACGTCCGGTGCGCCGAGGTTGGTGGTTTCAACGATTCAATGGTATCAAACAAAGGTGAGTCAGTGGGTTCATCATCCAATTGCCCGATTTTATGACCCTAATGCAAATGGCTCCATACACGGATGGTTTGGCATTTTCCTTGGCAGGCTCCACGGATGGTCTGATGAAAAGGGGAGGTCGAGGAAAACCCAAGCTGAGCGCCCGAGATGATCCACTTGGCAGGTGCGGATGATCGACTGCACAGCGTTTGTTGGGTTTGTTGGGTTTCCCCTCCTGAGACCAAAAAATAACCCAAACGCTCCATGGGACTGCCATATATGCCGATCAGTTGGGGTGGTTCCAGGGGTCAATGCAGGCATATATGCCATACATGGAGTGTCTGCGTAATGCAGACTCTCGATTAATTAATAAACTCACCCCATTTGGATGCACGCACTTGCGGACGAGTCGCGTCCACGCAACCCCTTTTTACATTGTACCATGAGTAGTGGTGGATACAGTATGTGAGAATGACAGAAAAGTGAAACGTATATTGAGTCACCATGTCCACCTAGACCAGTGAAAGCGAAATGCATGGTGCTGGCGCACAGGCGAAAATGTGGCAAGCGGTCGGAAATGTCACATGACCATGCTATATCTATCATTGCTCAGTTAATTAACGAATTTGGAACAGTCTGAGTGACTAATTCAAAGGGGCATTCGGATGCAATATGGGTTCAACAACCTCTTCATATGGGGGGCTTATTAATCGAGAGTCTACATAACAGGCGTTCAGAAACCCTTCCGGCCCCGAGAAAACTCGGCACTTCGAGACCTTTGGTGCCTGAAATGGCTTCGCCGCTGCTTCCACACGGGCTGCCCGCGAAAGCGCTCAGAGATCAGCAAGTACTCCCCACCACACCTTCTTCGCGCAGATACGGCACCGGATGGACGGATGTATAGAACCGGGCGGAGTCATTTTCAGATCATTTGGATTCCGAAGGAAAGTACAAGTGAATCATGGGACCAAAACGACGTGATGGATTTCAACCACCTAACAAGTCTAACTTATGGCTTCCTCCTGTCCTGTTGGGTGATCTTTCCTGTACTCTTTCCTTTCCTTTTTCCGTCCTTCTGTTCAGCAAATATGTATTATTCCTAGATGTGACTAGATTCAAGTTGTCTTCTTATCAAGCAGTACGATCTATATAGTGGATTAAGAGTAGATGGCGCAGACCCCCAATGTCTGAGGTTAATATGGACCCCATCTACAGGACATCATGGGGTCTGTGCCATCTACTACTCTGAAACTATGGCAAAAAATAACACGGTCCAAGAATCGATTAAGTGCAAACAAGGTACCCCTCAGGAGGCCTGGTTACCCCATGTGTTGCCTTGCCTCGTTGATTCTTTCTCCTGGGTGGATGCCCCCCAAGGAATCCATGGTTTACGAAACTATATATATATATATCGTTCAAAGTACATGGCGCAACTCCAAGTTCATTTGTGGACGTCTACCCAATGACAACACACTCAGGCCACACTTGGACGAACTGCTATGGATCCTCAACTCAGTATTGCATTGGGGTCAGGACATGTCAGGACTCTCTGGATCGAGTTTCCATGGACGTCCTGGGCCTTCTGCATCCATTCGTGCATTTTCCACATGCCATGTAGCCTTGAAGATATATGGCATAGATTGGACAAACAAGGATGCGTTTTATTGGTGTTTCTTTTCTTCTGGGGAGGTTCCACACTTATGAAGGTATAGTCCAAACATCGAGCATACACCAGCATACACAACAATAGGAGTTTCGTTGTATGTCCTGTGGACGGTTGATCTGCCGATCCTGAAATCTCTCAGAATTCAATCATTGATATCTGTCATCCACAGGGCTATTCCCTCCACCTGGTCATCCGGGCAAGTGTTCCCACTGGTCCACGCCGGCCACGCCTATGCTGCCCATTTGGGGACAGGATGTGCAGCGAAGGCGGCTCCGTGCTAACCATAATGGCTGCATCCTGGGGACCAAACGACGCTCGGCAACCATGCCTCCAAGCCCCGTCTCATGAGGAGTCCCGACAGCGACACCGTTCGGGACCTTGTTTTTCATTCCCCAACCCCCCCCGCCCCACAAACAGTCCATTACGTGTTTGTTGTGTTCGAAGAAGAGGTCATTCAATCCAAAACATGCACATTCGGTGCATCATGTTTCGAAAAAGAACTTGGACGATGTCCACCATCCTGGCACTAGTTAGTTACGTAAACCTGTGAATTCGTAATTAGCACATGATTCAATTTGCGAGCATTAGGTCCATTGGTGATTAATGTACGCATAGGACTGTTTCTTGGAGCTGGGCATGTTTTAGACCACCGACGGTCAGATCATGGATGATTCTCGCTTGCTTGTTTGCCGTTTGCCCTTTGCCTTTAGCTTCGTAGATTGGTGTACATAGTTTCCGCCTTGACTGGCCTTGTTGGTTCACACCCACTTCAACCCCCTCGAACTCCTAGGAAGGGAGAAGGTGGGAGCGCACGTCGACTCAGACAGTCCGCAAGTTCGTGTATCCAAATGGGGGTTTATTCATCATAAGTCTGCAGCACTTTGGATTTTTCACCTATTTGACCCCTTTATCAACTACCTCCACCGATCCGGAGGCAGGATGGACAGCCAGTCCCCAACATCGCATCTGCCCTCGGGGGTTCCCGGTGCGTTTGGTTCCGCTCCCAAGGAGAAGACCGATCCTCCACACCGGAGTGGTCATGTAATCCGAGAAATCACCGTTCGGTTTGACGAAAGACATTTGAAGTGGTGATATGTGGTGATTTGCTTTTTGGGAATTGTAAGGATACCCCCCCTATTACTCAAGCAACCGATCGTAAAGGGATGTAGAAGGCCAATTTGAAGTACCTGCACTTGATGCTTTCAAATCCTTCAGCAAGCAGGCACAGAACTGCAGGAGTGGCTGCTCTAAGAGGTCATCACAGGGGCTTTCTAATCCACTCAGTCTGTGGGTCATCACAATGTCGCAACTGGTGGTCTTGGATTTGCTTACGGAACCGGGAGTCCCATATAGCAAGCTTTCCCCAGAAGAAGCTTCTACCATGTTCTACCATAGGAAAAATATACCCCGTAAGCAAGACCAATGGGTTCTTACTTGGGTTCTTCTGACAGCCATCTCTCGGCAGCTTCGGGAACATGTTTCGAGTCCTCTCTGAACTTCTCACCATCCAAGCGCAGCCAGTTCCCCACCATCTTGTCAGGCATCCTAAGAAGAACTGGTGTTGTTTCCCGGAACGCTGGGATCGTATCTAGTGACCAGGTTCGGACCATTCAATGTATGGAATAGTTATATACATCAAGGAATCATTGAATCGTTAAGGTCATAAATGGGGGGTAAATGTATGTACAGTAACTATACCTACGGATGGTCTGGGAGAGATTCACGTGATCCGAGACAAGCCGGGCAAGATTCACGCGCAGTTCAATATTCAGATCCAATCCACAAAATTGATGGCAATCGTCGATCCAAAAGTGTGTGGTCTTTGGCAATACGTTGGCATAGCTGCATAGAACTAATTATGGATGACTGAATCTAAAACTGACATACTGACTATTACAGCTCAAGAAGGGACGGGATGGCATTGAATGTCTCACCACACGTGGGTTGCCCCAAACACCTGCCCACGTCTTCTCTCTCTGGCGGTACAACCAGGTACAATGCGAGACGACCACCAGCATTCCTTGGGCCCCTGGACTGACCATGATGAACCGCCTGGCAGTAGATGACCTGAAAGCTGGACACATGCGGCATGGGGGGAAATCTCGTGGATTGAGAGTAGATGGCACAGTAGATGAAATAGGTGGTTTAATGGTGGTATATATATATATATATATGTGTGTGTGTGTGTTTATGTGGACCCCTATCAACAAGTGATCCTGGTTGTCCCATCTACTCTGAAACCACTGTAGCACCTCCACATACCACCTAAACAACCCAAGGAGTGGTGCTTAGAGCCCTTGGAAGGAGGGTGAATGGACACCCCGGTAGCCACCACACCCTGGGCAGGGCCTCCTGGAATCAAGGGTCGATTTTGGCTGCATGGGTGACCACCATCCTCTGCAGTCGAAGAACCCCGTGACCCAACGACCCACACGGCTGGTCGGCTGGTCCAAAAGCCCTGCGTTGCTGGTCCAAAAGCCCTGATTTGGACACCCCAGGTGATCTACACAGCATTGGGTTGATCGGTGGCTCAGGGAACCTCAGGAAGGCACCATGCGAATTGCAGCCGATGAGACACGACACCAGCAGTTCCATGGAAGACAGGGTGCCGGAGAAACGGAGGATAGGAGTTGGATGCCCCGTCGTCACATCCACGGGTTCTGGATGGGACCCGAGAAAAACACACCCAACTCCATGTGACTCCTGGAGTTTATATTTATATATAACTATACAGGTAAATATACATATATATATATATCGGTCCGTCTCTTTGTCTTGGTATCCATATGGGTGCACATATATATATATATACATATGAGGTAGGGACCTTTGGGGTTCATTTCGCGCGTGGTAGATGATATGTCGTGCTTTGATCAACGAAGTGGTAGAAGAAGAACCGTTTCCCGTTTTGATTTGTCCATTTGATCCCATCCATGCTCACACAATCTCCAAAGTCCACTTGAGGGTGGATAGCACTGGGTTTTGCAATCTCAGGTGCTTTGGCCTCAAGACATGTGGAACATCTCAAATCTTCAATTGCATCAACAATATGCGGTGGACATTGGACTTGTTGGCAAAACGAAGCTTTTGAGTGCCGGGGTGTCCCATGTTCTTGTGTACCTTGACTATCCACTGCCGCTCTTCGGGAGTCAGGGCAAGCATTTTTGGCCAATGTTTATCGGAGACCAAATCAATCTCCGCCCGGATCCCCTGACGAACCTTCCCAGCTGCACACATCCTGGACAGCGACCTTTTCTCACCCTGAATGGTGCCAATTGCACCGATCCATCGGATGCATCACTCAGCTCAATGATATCTATGCCGGTAAAAACCTTAACTGCTTTGGTTATAGACCAAAAACATATTTGAAACTTACACTGGTGGAGAAGTATTGTTGTCAAGTGTCCAAGAACCCAAGAACCGTTGCCGAAGGGGTGACCGACCAAGCAAAAAATATACTTCAACAGTGCCAAGCTGCAGGCCGGTCACGCTACAGTGCCAATACAAAACGTTTGGGTCCCTTCCTGAGATCAGATGCGATGCGTTTCGTCGATGCAAAAACTATCACAGAAACACAACAAACAAACACCTAAACTTATATACTTCAAGAAAGTTATATGTATAAAGCAAACTATAACTACGATCCTACGCTGCGGCGAGCACTGTGACTTAGGACTTCCTAGCGTCAGCTTTGACATTTGTTCTACCAGCCACCCTATAGCGCGCGTTCCGACATATGTTCCGGCATGCAGTCTGGGATGTGCTCTGAGATATGTCTTGGCATAAGTTTGGCATTGTCGTAGCGTCAAGTGTGACTGACTAATCTAAGCGTGCAAAGCGTACATGCGCAGTCTCGCGCAACACACTTTCAGTCTGACTTGAATCCCACACACAAGCACCCACCTTCTGTAGATAGACATACATACATACAGACATTCATTTCTGGAGCTCTACTGTGGCAACTCGATGATTTATACTTGACGACATGGATCTGCTCCATGCAGCACGTTCGCACAACAACAGTCAGAACAGAGCTGTGACACAATCATATACTAATATGCAGCGTGCTTTCAACATGAACAGGCTCTTTTTTCAATCCTTTCAAGGTCTTTGGCTTTTTGGCCTTCTGCCACCAGACTTTATGGAGCGCCGCCTTGCAACTGTGAGGACATTCCTCTTCTTCGGCTTTGCCTTGGGCATCTTTGTCGCTGGCCGCTTCTCTACCCAACGCTTGACCTTCAGGGCTTCGCCTTTTCTGCTAGAATGCAATGGCAATGTGGCTTTGGTTTTGCCTTGACAGAACTCCGCCCATGTTTCATCGCCCCAGATGCTTGCGCAGAGAGTTCTCGACAACAGTACGCACTCTTCAGTCTGTCGCACGGTTGGAAAGCAAGTGGCCACATGATGGGAAAGCGTTTTTCCAAAATGCATAATGTCCAGCTTCAAGCGCAAGAGTGCTCTGATGTAAGCTGCGAATGGACCGCGTCCAAGAGTTAATCTGAGCATGGAGGGTCTCGTTGGATGCTGTGCCACTGGGCAAAAGCGCTCGGTCCCTTGGTGTCAGAGCATGTCGGAGACGAGCGCCGTTGAAAAGCCACTCTAAGCGCTCCGGCGCACAAGCAGCCCACAAAACTTTCTTCAGCTCTGTGTTGCTGCCAGTGACTTTGCGAACAACCTCGTCTTGATGCACCTTGCAAATCGCAGCAACACTTTCGATGAACGTAATCCGACAGTACATGGGCGATGCACTGTCGATGGCGTCAAATAATGTTCCGAGCCCTTGCCATCCCCAGATTCTTCGGATGCAGGATGGCTTCTTGCGCTCTCTCCTCCTCGCGGGAAAGGCTTGGAGGAGAGACGCCACAGAAAAAAGGACCCCAAGACTCTGGGCGGGCCACGCTGTCGATATGATTGATCCTGTCGAGCGCGGCCCGCAACATCTTTGACCCAGCAGAACGTTTTCCCCACTGAGCATACTCATACACAATGGCAAGGTGAACTGGGTCCAAGCAAAGTCCAATCAGGTTTGGACATGCAGAGTGCAACTCTTGGAAAAGCTTCAAAGATGGAGAGTAGTAGAAACATACCTCACTTGATGCAGAGCTGCGGTCGAAAACTTCAATTTCAGCACATCGGCGATTGTCAACACTCTTCGCAAAGAATCTTCATCGTTGAAGCATGCCGAATTTCGTACCTCTGCAGCGGCTCTATAATGCGCTTGGCCCTTCACCGACATGCACACCTTCAACCAGTAAAGCCAGCCAGGAAAGCCACACAAGCAATCAAGGACCGCAAGCAAGGACGCAAGTGCCAAAAAGATGGAAACAAAACAGCAAAGAGAAAGGCATAGCAAGCAAGCAAGCAAGCCAGCAAGCAGGCAGGCAAGCAAGCCAGCCAGCAAGCAGGCAAGCTAGCCAGCAAGCAAGCCAGCCAGCAAGCAAGCAAGCCAGCCAGCAAGCAGGCAAGCAAGCAAGCCAGCCAGCAGGCAAGCCAGCCAGCCAGCCAGCCAGCAAGCAAGCAAGCCAGCCAGCAAGCCAGCCAGCAAGCTAGCAAGCTAGCAAAGCAGCCAGCAAGCAGGCAAGCAATCAAGCAAGCAAGCCAGCCAGCCAGCAAGCAAGCTAGCAAGGCAGCCAGCAAGCAAGCAAGCAAGCAATCAAGTAAGCAAGCAAGCCAGCCAGCAAGCAAGCCAGCAAGCAAGCAGGCAAGCCGACAAGCAAGCAAGCAAGCAAGCCAGCCAGCCAGCCAGCCAGCAAGCCAGCAGGCAAGCAGGCAAGCAAGTAAGCATGGCAGCAAGCAAGCCGACAAGCAAGCAAGACAGCCAGGAGGCCAGCAAGCAAGCAAGCAAGCCAGCAAGCAAGCAGGCAAGCAAGCAAGGCAGCAAGCAAGCCGACAAGCAAGCAAGCCAGCCAGGGGGCCAGCAAGCAAGCAAGCAAGCCAGCAAGCAAGAGACAAGCTAAAGACAAATTAGCAAGCTGACAAGCAAGCAAGCCAGCCAGGAGGCCAGCAAGCAAGCGAGTCCTGTATCTTTTGGAACAACTGAAAGTGTTAACACATTTGGCCCTCCGGTCCTCGTCTTGGCCATACTGCAATGCAAGCGAAGTGGCAAGAATGCAAAGAAAAATGCAAAATCTGTAAATGGCTACGGTATCGACGAACGAAACAGGAGTCTTGTTTGCAAGAGACCTCCTCTGACGTCACCGGTCCGTCCATGGTCCACAGACATGACTTGAACGTATCAAGAATGAGCCTTTTGATTACACAACATCACTGAACATATCTGAAAACGAAGGGAATATTGGACTCGCTCAATAGGATTACAGAATCACATATTCTTTGCTTGTTTCAAAACCAGTAGAGGCACCAACCCAGCTAGTAGTCTTGTCACATTCAATATCATTCTTCCATTGCCAGGCATGCTGCATGCTGTTGAAGCAATCTCCGGATATTTCAGGATATTTCACAGACTCTACGTTTTAAAGCCCGGATCCAGCTTCAGTTTCTGCACACCCGTGAAGCAGCAGAAAAACAACATTCACTGTTGCTGGTTGATTGATTCCCAACTGCTCTTAATTTTGTGTTTCATGTGTTTCTGGACAGATCCTTCCAATCATTCATGTGATCCATAGAAACGTATATATTGAAATCGCATTTTTAACTGTTGTGTTTGGCCCGAAACTCCCCCACAACTACGTCAGGCAACATCTATTTGATCGAGGGTCTTGTGAAAACTACTGATTTCTGCACTTATACAGTAATAGAGCTATATTGGACATAAAACCTTTTTCACAAAAAGGTTTAAACAAATACAAAACAATAATACAATTCCATGTGGTAAACTGATGTTCTTTTAGAATATTTAATTTACAAATGCTTTTTGCAAAGTAAAAACAATAAATACAATTCTATTTAATAGAGTGACTCAGTGGCCTCCGGCTACTATTTAGAAAAAGAAATAAAGTAAAAAGAAACATATTTATTTTTTAATTTACATTAATTTTTCGAATTTACAAATGCCTTTTGTATTTTTTAGCAATTTTAAAAATACAATTCTATTTAATAGAGTCACTCAATGGCCTCCGGCTATTTTAAAAGTAAAAAAAATCCAAATCATAAATTGTTTAAAAAAAAAGAAAAATTAACGTACAAAAACCTTTTGTAAATTAAAAAATATATATAATTTCCTTTAAAAAAAACTATATATATATTTATTTTTTAAATTTACAAATGCCTTTAATTTACAAAAAACAATACAATTCTATTTAATAGAGTGACTCAGTGGCATCCGGCTATTTAAAAACTTAAATGTACTTAAAAAATAAATAAATAAGATTAAGAAAATAAATCAAAATTGATTTATTGTTTTAATTTACAAATGCCTTTTGCAAATTAAAAAACATAAATAAACATAAAAATAAATCAAAGTCTTTCTATGTTTTAATTTACAAATGCCTTTTGTAAATTAAAAAATATTAAATAACAATAAATAATAAACCAAAATCTATCTATTTGTTAATTTACAAAAAAGCCTTTTGTAAATTAAAAAAAGTGAACAATACACTTCTATTTAATAGAGTGACTCAGTGGCATCCGGCTACTCAAAAATTTCACTAAATTAAGCAAAATAAATACAAATAAACAAATAAATCAAAATCGATTTATTTATTTAATTTACAAATGCCTTTTGCAAATTAAAAAAATTAACAAAAAGCAAACAAAATACATCAAAATCTATCTATTTTTTAATTTACAAAAGCCTTTTCTAAAATTTAAAAAACAAAAAACAGCAATAAAATAAATCAAAAACTATTTATTTGTTCATTTATAGAAGCCTTTTGTAAATTAAACAAAAATAAATATATTAAGACATAAAATACACGTCGATTTAATTAATATATTTATTTATTGTTTTTGTCGTAATTCTTTAAATAGCCAAATCCACAAACAAAAAGAAATCTATTGATTTTTAATATATTTAATTTACAATCTAAAAAATTGAATAAATTCAAAAAAAAAATAGAATTAAAAAAATAAATCAAAAAAATACACGTCGATTTAATTTATTTAGTTAATTTATTTGTTTAATTGTTTAAAATAGCCAAATCCACAAACAAAAAGAAATCTATTAATTTCTAAATATACTTAATTTACAATTTTAAAAAATTAAATAAATAAATAAAAAAACTAATAATATAAATCAAAATCTATTTAGATTTCTATTTACAAAAGCCTTTTGTAAATAAACAAAGTAAATAGAATTAAAAAGCAACATCAAAATCCATCAAATTTTTAATTTACAAATGTTGTTTGCAATAAATATTTGAATTGAACATTAAATCAGTTGTGTTTGTTTGTTTTTACGAAATGATACCTAAAGGACCCTCGATCATATATATATATATATTATATATATATATATGTGTGTGTGTTCCGTCATCCTCGAAACCAGGATTCGCCCATCTTCACCATGGCATGTATCTCAATTGGTTAGGTTGAAATGTCAGAGAAGATCGGGATCATCTGTGTAGTCAATCTGTATTGTCTCGACATGTTGGGATAGAAAACCAAGGGTCACCGGTCACCCAAAAAACACAATTCAATCCTCCGGCCTCCTCGGCATCCCTTGATGGGCAATCAACGACAGTGAAACATCTGAAAGACTCAAGTTCTGCAGTGCACGTGCCCGGCCCCGCAAACCGCGAAGTACCAGGTCTTCCCCACTCGTGTCCCGAAATCGCGACGTGCCAAAAAAGGTTCCCGAAAAAGAAACCAAACCCAAACACTCCATGGGACTGCCATACATCTCCATACATTCACCCCCGCACCCACCCACCCCTGGCCGTTTCTCGGCAGTCCGGCAGTCCCATTATACTCGTCGTGTCTGCGCCTTTCTCCGCGGGGACCGGACCTCGCGACCCTTCTCTCGGTCGCCTGGCCCCGCGTGTGCACACGAAGTTCTTCGCTGCAGCATCGGTGCCTCCGATGATCCACATGCCGTTGCTGCCTGCCGTGGTTCCACGGCTCTCAGACGGGTTCGATGTTCGAATGGAGGGAGAATCACCAGTGATTGAGAATGATGCTTGATTCTCAGATTGATGTTGAGGATTGAGAAATTCTTCCACACAAATGATGTTGAGTCAGTTGAGGCAGGAACTTTAAAACAAATTTTAGCAGGTACTGTGCAGTTTCTATCATTTTCTGGTCCATACGACTGACTATAAGAAGGAATTGGTGGAAGCAGCTGGGTCTCATTCCTGTCTGCACTGCACGGGTGGATTCCAGACAGTCAAAAGCTCAGTGAAAGCAGCAGCTTCGCCTGTCAAAGAACAATATGATAAAACAATACAATAAAGATCAATAAAATAACAATCCAAACGATATAATTCGTCATATATATATATATATTTGTCATTATGGGTCCCTAATTGTCCTAGGATGTAGCTAGGGCAGCTAGTTGTAGAACACCAAGAAGGTCAACGACCCACCGTCATGTTCCAACCGAATTGGCAGCCTTTGAAGTGCCTCTGTGCCTCGCTCACCTCGCCTGAGTAGAGCCAGCATCGGCCCACGGTGGCGTGCTCCCACAAGGGGTAGCCATTGGCCATGCGATCCGCCAACGGCACGTACTCCCCAGCGCACCTGCAACGACGGACTTCCCGAAAAACGTCTCCGTGGTAGATCGTGGTTTCCGTGGGATAAGGGCGACGGTGCACTTTATGGTTTGAAGGCTGGCATTGTGACACATATAGTTACAATATCCCTACCCTCCTGAGGGGGGAGTCAAAAAATGTAAGTTACATTTTCCTATGCGGAGGACCTGAAACATGTACATTTATTGAGATAGCCTAAAATAATGTAACTTATTTTTTCAGGCCCCAGGGGTCATATACTGTGTAATGACCTCAAACATGTACGTTACATTTTGGGGTCCGGAGGGATGTTTACATTTTTTGACGCCCCCCTGATGATCTTCTGGTTTGGGCAGTTGTAGATGCATGATGATGGAGGCTTTGCTTTGCATGCTTTTGTAACATTTTGTGAATGCACAATTTTGGGGCGCAATTTGTTGCAATATGTAACAATCACATTGGCTGTGTGTGTTTGTGTGTCCTTTTTCCTTTCCTATTTACTGTACTTTCTTTGTGTGTGTGCCTGTAATTGTTTTGTGTGGCTTGCTGCTGCTGATAGCAAACATGATGGAACAGCAGTTGGCCTGAGTTCGTCGGAGTTATCATCAACAAAGAAGAACAGCTACACACCCAAAGCAAACTCCCAAGCAAAAAGGAATATACATGTTGAAGTGCATGTGGTTCGTTGGTGCCCCTTTTGATTGTATTGTCACGGCTTGGGGGAAGACAAAAAAGGCACCAGCAAAGGAGTGCTATCTTCTGGGATCTAGCTGGCTAGCTGGGTCTCCTAAAGAAAACACATAGCAAAGGATCATGAACATGCTACACAACAAGGGAAAGGTCAATGTCCTGACCCTGCCTGTGTTGACCGTTTGGAGTCTGCACATAGAGACGCTGAGGCTTGATCGTGACAGCGATGTCCTGTCTGGTCGACCATGCCGATGAACAGTCGTGAGTGAACGGTACAGTGATGGACGTGTCATCTCAACGGCGGACCGAGGCCTAGGCTAAGAAATTGAGTTGGTTCAGTGAGTATGGTGGAGTTTCTTCTTGAAAATTCAAACGGGCCCGAAACAAATATAGACTAACAAACAGAAGTGTCTCCACAAAAACGAATGTTTTCAACCGTGTTCATACGTTCTCACTCATGTGGGCACGTGAAAATCAACCTAAAGCATCTCACAAGTCTTGAAGTTCGATTGAGCTCACACACCAAGAAAAATATATGATAAAAATACCTTTATATATACATGCAGTCATTGAAAATATGAACATATTGAAACCTCGGCCTCTTCCGCCGAGTTCGCCGGTGCAACTCTTGCTTGCATGTGTCTGCTTTATTGGTTTCTCCTCACGCTGGCTACACGTTCGTGAACACTTCGGGTAGGCGTTTCATGCCGAGGGACGCTATCTTCTTGGAATTGGTCGCCACCCAAGCGTAGCCAAACACCGCCCACCTGCACATCTGGCCGCAGCCGCTCAAAGGCCAAGTCCATCAAATTCAAAGAAAACGCGGGAAGGGGTGGTTATTGGATGGAAATACATAGTCAGGGGTCCATAAACCACTCTTTCCGTGGTGCTGGTGGATAGTCTGCAGCTTGGAAATCTCATCAGTTCTCGCCCGAACTCCGCGGCCAAGGGTCTCTCCACCCAGGATCACTAGAAACATGTCTGGACTGATGGACAAAAAATAGCTAAAAATAGTGTAAATGTTCCACCAACTAAACGGTGTATTGGCTCTAAAGAAACGTGGAACACAGGCTTGAGTGGGGTGGGGCGCTCGCGCATGCTCTCGCGTAAAAAAGCCTTCTCCGGCATCAGTCCACCACTTGTCCGCTTGGAGTAGATCACACCTCACACCAGCGCAAACCAGTCTCTCCATCCTGGAGATGCTTACATACGGCCGGGAAACATAAGGCCAAAAGAGTAGACCCGACGCCAAGGTAGGCCAGTTGCCCGTGCCGCTTTTGGAGGATTGTGAAAGAAATCACTTTTACATACTTTTACTCCAAACAACCACGTGACTGATCAACAGTGAAACCGTCAGTTTCGCCAGTTCTCACCGTGCTCACCCACAGCTATTGCTCACAGTTGTATAGTCTCGAAGACCTTTCTTAAGAACTGATGTCGGACACCCCCATTGGCTTTTCCTTTCTTCTCTACTTCAAGAATGCCCATTTTCGATTTTTGCAGTTTGATTTGTTTTCAATTAGATACCACCCACTATCACTAGCATCACCATCCACTGTGCCGCTCAAAAAAATGCGACACACCTCATTTACACGATGCACACCGCGCCGAAAACGCCAGACCAACGCATGCGGGACGTTCCAACCGAGGTTGCAGGGCGCAACCGCAGGGCACGTTTCACTAACACCTTTTCGAAGCCTTTTGTTACCTAGCACTTCCAACGGGTGCCCTGTCTGGAGACCTGTAAGTAGGGTAGGGTAATCTATTGGACACCCATTGGATGAAGTATTGATTATTAGTTAGTGCTTGACGCATGACGCATGACCTACCGGCATGTTCGCAGTCGTCGCACTGTTGTTTGTTGGTCTCTTTGTGGTTGAAACTTTATACAAGCGAAGAATCACGTTTTCAATAAAGGGTCCTGGTTTTTCGGGAGAAGGACGGGTTTTGTCAATGTTCGACACAAATCAATTTTGACAGAGCAGGCCCTGGCAAACTCCCGGACTTTGTGGAAGGGATGAGTCACAGTGCCAGAATGGTTAACTAGTTGGACTGGCCATGGATGACATGTTGGGACATTGACAGGCCGTGGTTTCTTTGGGATATGGTTTGAGTTTGGATGATGCATGTCCCTGGTGCCAGGAACCAGCTATGACATGACCGGTGATGTCGATGCATGTTTGCACGCTGACGTCGCCTGTCTTATGATGGGCACTACACCGAAAGACACGGCACGAGCTCAAAATGAGCAGGCGTGGACGCCAAGTCAAAGGGATGTCCATGGTAAATCAATGTTCAACGTGCATGTACTGTATCTCCACTCAAGCTCACGTTCACATGGGAAAGCAATTGCTTGTGAAAAGTGGGGCAGCTGCTGCTACTTCCACGTCGTCAACCTCGAAGTCTGGATCTGTGGCCCCAAACCTCATGCATCGTCCGCGCCGTCCACCGTTCACCGGCCTTTGGCGCATTTGAAGTCCTTCTCCTTGGCATCAGAGCCGCCCAGGATCCATGAGCCTCGAGCGGGATGACGAAGCCGCTGGGCCCGGAATTTGGACGGGTTAGACACCCAGCGACTCGACCTCATCCGCGTCGAACGCCATCTGCTGCAAGCGTCGAACACGCAAGCAAAGAGCATCGTCCAAGGGGTGGGTCACCAATCGAAGCCCTCACAAGACTTAGGACTTACAGTATTATGGATCTCCACGGGGCAACCCCTTGAAAGGTCCAAATACGTATAACCGTATAGCCTGTATAGCTTTGGGGTCAAGCTATGGAAACACACAAACATGCAAACACATCCTTCGAGGAGTCGTTGGGTGTGTTTTTGTTGGGTCCCATCCAGTTGCCGTGGATGCGACGACGGGGCAACCAACTCCTTCCTATCCTGTGTTCGTTTCTCCGGCACCCTGTCCTCCATGGAACTGCTGGTGTCGTACAACTGCTGGATTCTCATGGTGCCTTCCTGAGGTTCCCTGAGCCACCGATCAACCCAATGCTGTGTAGACCACCTGGGGTGTCCAAATCTTCGGCACAGGCCGAAATCGATGACCGAAATGGAGGCCCACGACATCCACGACTCATGTTTGACAAAACCTATGAAACACAATGAAAAACACCTGGCCAATGATTATGTATTATATTATCATGCAGATTCATCTGGTTTTCACATGTTTTCACCAACATGGACCATGAATCTGTGGGTCATCTCGGGCCAAGTGGGGTGATGTATTCGTTCTGTTCTTCGGATCGTCGTGTCGCCGCATCGAAGACCGGACCTGCCCCCCGGAAGACCAGACCTGTCATGGTCCGCCTGTCCCGCTGTCCTTTCCCTTCGATGTCTCGCTGTCCAGCGCACCGTTGACGCCGCAGTAGAGGTAGCACCTCGGCCCGGCCGCCACGTCGGACGTGGGTCGGCTGCGGGGTCAGCGGGAAGGGCGCCGCTGTTGGCGGGTGGGAAGGGTTGGAAGGTGATGGGTCGGTGATCTGGGCCGTTGATATACGGATGTTTTGTGTCCCCAAAAGAACTCTGAGCTTCATGAGCCTATCACTGCAGTGAGCCCACGATCTACTCTCGCCACATGTTTCGAGATGTTTTGCGACCGGGCCTGGGAGTGAGCACGGTGGGCTCCTGCAATGCCCACTCTTGGTGCAAGACCCAAAACTCCAGAGATGGAATAGGTAAAAAGTGACCGTTGAAACATTGGACATTGACCGTTGGAACATTGGACACTATGCCACCAGCCGGGAACCGTCTTTTACAAGTTTTTAACACATTGGGGCCCCATGAAACAGAATGTCTATATGAGTCTATATATAATCTCAAGACGTACTCTCGTACTCGTGAAAGTTTAGGACACAAACACAATATAAGTACCTTTTTCGACCTTTTTCGTATGCAGGTGGACCACCGCGCTTGCAGGGCAAATATTACAGTCCCATGCAATGTGATATCAACTCGCCCCCCGTGTGACACATTTGAGTGTCATTTTCATTTCCATCTTTGGGGGTGGTTGAGTACCTCCTTTACCGCTAGTAGAGAGAATTTAGGTTCCCACATGTTTTGTAGAGCGCCATCTACCCTACCCAAACGTCAAATTCAGACCACTCCCCAAAATTGCGATTATGGATGCTGGACTCACGAGGTCTTGAAACATTGCGCCATCTATTGGCTCAAAATGGTGAGTGAACTCATATCTTTTGCTTTTCTGCTAGGGACAAAGAAAAAGGAAAGGACAAATACAAAGAAATTGGAAAAGGAAAAGGAAAAACGGAAAAGGAAAGGGCAGCAATGCAAGGAGCAGATGGCGCAACATGTATAGAGGGCTGGGAGTGTCTTGCTGCATAATATCTTGGGTCGATCGTGGGTGCTCAATGCCTTGCGGCCTCATCTTGCCACTGCCAGTGTGCAGGACAGCATTGCAAGGTTGAGGGCAAGGAAGGGAAAGGAAAAGGGAAAAGGATGGAAAAGGGAAAGGGGAAGAGGAACAAAAAGAAACGGACTATGTTTGGTCGCAAGTGCTGTTGATGGGGTTGCGCCACCTACGCGGCTTTCCTTTTCCTTTTCGCATGTCCTTTCCCTGGAACTTGCACTGCAGTCCTGTTGGTCCCAGCCCTGGCAACGAAGAAAGAAAGGGCCGCAAGGCAAGAGGAGCATCCACGACACATGCTATGCACTCTTGCCCATCTAAAAAAGAGTGTTGCGCCATCTGCCCCCTCATACTGCTCTGCGGTCGATGGGTGAATGAATACTAGCAAAATCACAAACACTTGCACAATCGCCTGATTTCCACAAAATCGACTAGTAAAATTGATTGTGTGATCGGTCTATTTTACAGATCGGTCTAATGTGGTTTTCCCCAAAGTCAACCTGATTTCCCCCAATTCGCCTTTGATTGATCGAGTCTACCGGAGCCAATGGTTGCTCCCTTTTGAGTCGATGGCGCAAGCGTACAAGGCCAGGTCGAGTAATTACAAGCTGGTATGGACGGGCGGCTCATGGGCCCCCCACTAAACCAGCGCCCCCGAATCTGGGGGTCATGGCTTCCCATTCTGATGCTGCCAAACAGGCAGGCCCTGTGCAAAGGTCTCGGTCAAGACCTCGGTGTCGACTCCGTTTTTGCGGAGGCGATTGAAATCGGCATCGCCCATGCCAAGTGTTCCGGTTCAAGTTGGTCCGGTGTTTTTCTTTCAATGTGGAGCCCGGGTCTGGGACAATCAACCCATTTGATGGAGGTAGTGTCCAACAATTCTGGGGCATTGGTCTGCTTCCACAAAGCACCATATTGGTCCATAGTATTGGTCCATTGATCTGGGCCATGCTCAGCGACGTCACCCATATCGGTCCATTCATCCGCAAAGCAATGACCGGGGATGAGGAAACGAATGGCGACCAGGCATGATATGCCTCAACGGGGAGCAAATCCTAACCCAAACACTGTATGAATTAGTTACCAAACCAAACACCTCTGAACCACCCTGGAGTGTCTGAGTCTGGGCAATGATTCCTTAATGGTCTTAATGTTGACTACCAGAATGGTCTTACAATTTCTTACTTCGAATTCTGTATATGGGGGTTCTATTCAACAAGAGTCAAACAATTGGTGCTAAGCATATGGCAGGTTGTCCAAATACCCGACCTGGAAATCACACCAAGAGTCCTGAGAGGTTAAATCCCCCATCAAGTTGGGTTCTTTTGATTAAACCGTGCCCGTTCAAGTCTCCCAAAAGCTGGCTGAATCATAAAGCGGTTGTCGTTACTTTCGAGAAAAACAAATGGTTACTGTGCTGCCTGTTGAAGCCCCCAACGTCACCTTTCTCAGATGTGCTGGCTGAACCCCTGAACCCCAAAAAGTTCCTGATCATTCTGGCGGTGGAGATGTGTCAAATAGTGCATATACATCCTGTTTTTAAGAAATTGAAGAAATTAATACGCTCCTCCTGAAGATCAGGAAAACCTTTGTGTAGTATCACATAGCCACCTTCCCGGTAGACCTGCCCTCCACAACCGAAACCATCAGCTCAGGTCCTTTTTCCATCCTCTGTATATGGCATATGGGTATGTATCAGAATGAGGGGGCCCAATACAATTCTTCAGAAGTCACGATGGCGGTCTCATTGCTGTTGAACAGCTTGCTCCAAGCAAATGGCGAAACTACATCTCACACGGTCGCGACCTCCCCCTCATTTTGAAACGCCTGACTTCACAGATGGGCCACGGGTTCGCCACACTGGTTGCATCTGTGGTCAGCTGCGTTCAAACAGTTTGTGCAACTGGTTCCCACACTTAATTGAACAAGTTTTGTGCAGTACCCTTCAGCTGCTTGTGGGAACCAAAGCGTCAAAATAACCCTCCTGGAGACCACATGGACCTTGAAAACTGAGTGGTGGAGAGGTTCATTTGAAGGGTCCATGTTTAGTCTGCAGGGGGGGTACCACTACCATAAGGGACCTCTCTTCCGACCGTCACTCTCAACCAAAGAGGTGCCTCCCCTGTTTAGCAGGATCTGCTAAGATGGACTGCTGCCATCTTCGGAACGAGCTGCTCGGATGGCTCAAACCAACTACGCTTCACAAACCCTCAACGCACGGGCTTCCTGCGCGCCCACACGTGGAGCACGCAACAAACCACACCCAACACACGTAGAATGGCTAGGATCATGACATTTCAGGATGCCTGATGTTTGAGCCACCCTCAACACTTGCTTCAAACATTGCTGTCTCCTTTATGCCTCCCTGAACCGCGAACTGGCGCATCAGGGAGGTGTGCCGGAACTTGTGGCCCCCCGGCTTTGACACATCCGCTTAGGGCTTGACCACTGAGACTCCCAATTTTGGTGGTCACCTTCATATTGATCCCATATCATGTCAAACCTGTTTCAGCATGTTTCAACCACCTCGGGCGGTTTGCCAACGATTTGGGCCTTTTCCGGGCCAAACTCCACCTCTTGAGCCCTCGGATCAAGCATCCTCAGCATCCTCAGCAGTGCTCGATCAAGCCTAACCATGCCTAACCACGCGCCTATGACTTCGGGGCGGCCCCTGGCATCAACGAAGAACAATGAGGGATGAGAAATGACTGTGTTCGAATCGCTTGAGCGGCTTCGAAAACCGCTATCTATTAATTTTTGTTGGTATAATGTGAGTTTACAGTTTGTGGACTTTTCATCATAGAAGTTTTGGAAGTTTCTCACTTGGTGCTTTTAACCCTAGGACTTCTTGGGCCACCCTGGAAGTTCGGCGACACAAAGCATAGCGCCCGGCCACCGCTGCCGGCAGTGCTGCGACGTACAAAATATTCAAAGGGAACGTGTACCTGCAAAAAGTTACAGTAACTAGAATCACGTATTAAGGCTCCCCAGCATGGAGCCCCGGCTCAAGAAGAAGCAAGGGAATTCAAAAACCATGCGAACCATGGGGATGGAACGCTTGACCATGGGGATGGTTTTGTTCCAGCGCACGTTGTTTTTGCCCCAGCTCCTTGATGCGACGCAACTCGGTGAGATCATGATGAGATGTTTGAAGGGCCCGAACGCACGACAACCCGGTTCTTAAGCACCGAAAAGCAAAAGTTTCTTGGTTCAGCTTCAGCTGCCCCATCTGCCCTCCCCCGAGGAATGCTTAGATAGGGAATAGGGAGATCACTATCTTGAGACATCTGGAGTGCAAAAAGAACTAAAACAAATGAAAAAACATAATGCGGAGAACCTTGCTGCTTCCATCTGCCCTCTACAAAGAAATTTTCCAACTAATGCCTGGGCCTGTACATGGGAGTTCATCCCAGTGAATTCTGATGAATTCGAAGGCATATGGATTCTTCAGAGCTTCTGCTTGCAGTCCAGCCTGCAAAGCTACCCGGCTGCTGCAGGAATGCAGAGCCCCAAAAAAAAGAAGCAAAGTGCAACATATCATATATATATATATAAGCTATATCTATACATATATATATATAAGGGGCATATAGTCTTTATAAACGCGATACGGTAATATATCTGGCCTCTCCTAATACCAGTAACAGTGGATGATGATGGTTAGTAAAGGCCTTCCTCTTAAATAGTGGCAATTGTTTGCCGACTGTTACAGGTAGTAGGACAAACCCCAAAAAGTAAATATATATATATATGTATATACACAGTATATATACATATACATACACCTTCCGTAGACACCTGGCTCAAACCATTTTGCCCACCTGGTGCGGCACCCCAAAGCACCACGTGTGCACTGAGTTCATCCAGGGCCACACCGCCACAGCGCTCATCCAGGGTAAGGGACTTTGCTCGTGATCGCGGGGAACCAGATCTACGGCAACTCTTCCTCCTGGTCTTTGACCTACACTCGGGACATCCTGATCTTGATTGGGGCTATTCCACTGTCTCCTCACAGGGCCTGTTCGTAGAGTGCAACGGCATCCCTGCCTCAACCTCTGCCTCTAGGAGACGGGTGAGGGGTCCCTCAAGAGGTACAATGACTCCATCAAGCATGACAAGCTGGTGCCGAGCCTACCAGGTATGTCAGGCGGCCAACTGTCACAATTCAATCTGGCAAGACAGAGTCAGAGAAGGGTGTGTATGTCGACTGTGTGGCAATGCTTGGTCGAAGCCACCTCATGGCTATGCACCAAGGTCTCCAGCACCTTGAACTCACAACAGGTGGAACACAGGAGAACTGTTGGTTTCTTCATGGGACAAGCTTGACCCAGGGCTTCAGCAGAAGTTAACTGAAATTGGCATCACTCCTCCGCCCCCAAGCCCAGAGCTTGATTTGAAGGATGTGCTACGTGACAACTTGGCGCAAAGATGTTGCCAACAAGTTGAAGCAGCAGGTGTCCACCCTTCGGGACTTTTCCCACAGGAAGCAGAACCTTCAAAACAAGATCGATGCCACCAAGAAGGCCTTCAAGAGCTACTTGATGAGATGAAGCTCATTCAGACCAAGCTCGAACAGGAACAGACGGAACTGAACTCCACAAGCAGCCTGACGCTGTGCAGCTTTCGGAGGACGCTGACATGAAGGATCCCGTACAAGAAGCAGTAGCTGGATTCATCAGCACCCTTGGCGTTAGTCTCACCCAATGCTCAAGCGGCCACCCACCTCCACAGAGGAAGACACCAAATGCCGCAAGACGGGTGAGGACGGCAAGGACAAGTCTTGTGGGTAACAGTCCAATGAGGGCTTTGCAGCATGAAGGTGGAACTATCCACACTACGAACCACTTTGGTGTTTTTCCATGGACTAACATGGATCTTGGGGATTTTCAATCAATTTGCAGGGCTTTGGACAACTTCACTGAATTGCAATCTCATGCACTTTCGGGCTCAAGCTTCACGGGCAGGGCCCATTCCGGGGCTTATGGCCTTGGAGGTCCGCTGATGCTCTCAAAGTCAAAGGGGGCGCAATTTTGCCAACGGCAACGCTAGGAGCTGAGGGACCGAGTTCCTCTACCTCCGCGTCCACAGTGACGCTGCTATCCACGGGACCTCTTGCTCCCAAGCGCTAGCCCGGCTCCTTATGGATATTGACTATGAACAGATGTCCAACATTGAAGAGGCTCAAATGCAGCTCTTCACCATCAGTCAACAAGACCTCTTCCAGTCGAGCACGACATATGCCAGGCAACCCTCACGAGATCACGGGCAACAGCTTCTTTCTGATCTACAGAGGGTTGAGCGCCTGGTCCACAGGCAACTGGGCCTCCAAGGGGACAACCCACACATTCAGGCCAACACAGCCCTGATTGCCCAGAATCTCACCAGCATATCATCAAACTTGGGCAACCTTTGCTGCAGCAACGCGGTGTTTCGATGTTGGAGCTGGCTTAGCAGTTTTGTATCCGAGCCACCTCTGATTTGGGGAAGGCTTCATCAGGCCTTCAGGTTCTTTCTTTCCTCCTCCACTCCGTGCTTGCTGACGGACATACCAGAGCTTGGGGACATGTGGTCCCACTTTGATGAAAGCCAGCAAGCAGACGTTGGGGACTTTGTGGGACACCTATGGACTTTGGCCTCTCCTCAGAGCATTGGAGGCAAGTTCTTTCACATCAGAAACAACGGAGTTCCAGAAGAACGTGAACAGGTCCCGATCAATCTCCGCCGGGAGAA